TATAAAAGTAAAGAAAATAAATAAAATTGAAAATAAAAATACTATGCATTTACCATCCAATGTTTTCAATGTATGTAGAGAAGAAAATTTAAATAAATTCCATGGAAGAATAACATTTGAAATATCTGAAATACTTTTTGTTTTATCAATCTGAGAAAATAAATAATAACCATTTAGAAGTCATAGATAATTAAATTGTTATTATAGAGAGTAATACCCGCTTGTTTTGTGGCAATGTTTCTGGACAAAAATGACTGACAAAACCAATATTAATCAATGATAATAGTAGTGAAACAGCAGCAGGTAATACAAAGAAACTAACGGGTGATAATGGCCAAAAGGTTGTCCCTAATTGACTGCATATGGCACCAAGTAATGGTCCAAAGATAAAACCCAATGAAAATGCCGCACCAATCCAGGCCTAGAAATATTAGACTTAGAAAAACATTTTTCAACAAATAAGGAATGATATCTGATAAATACAAGCTCAATAATTTATTTATTTTTCTACTCATATGAAGATTTAATTAGCTCGTTTAGTCTCATGTTTTTTACTAATCTTATGAAAGTTTTCGCATTTCTACAAATCATAAATTTGTCAAAGATGACATGTCAGAACCATTTGAATTAATGAGAAAATGTCAACAGAATTGAATATAAAATATGGGATAAAGCTGTCAACAAATGATCGTTAGTGAGTGTATGAAAAACTAGAGAGAAAATAAAAAACCTATCTAACCATTGCACGATTTCGTTCATTTTCTGTTGTTACATCCGATACAATTGCAAGTATAATGGCTACATTAGCTTTACATAATCCACCAATAAATCTTGCAATCATAAAAACAGTTAAATTGAATGATATACACCATATCGCATAGGATAATGATATGCCTAACTAAAGAAAATGATCAAAACAAAACAATCGTATATGTTGTTGATCAACTGTTTTCTTTGTACGTTCAATAAATAATCGAAAACAGTTGATTAGTATTATTACTGTGTAAAATTAGCGATCTACCATGGAGAAAATTAATACGGGTTTTCGACCATAACGATCAGAAGCTGAACCAGCCAATGTTGATGATAAAAATTGTAAAATTGAAAATAATGAACCAACAATACCTAGAAGATATGAAGCATATATATTAGAGAATCAAAATTATAAATTTAAATAAACTAATTGAAACAAATATAAGACTCTAAACATGTTTCCATAGCGTTTTTCTCTATTAATAATCTAAGAAAATAGCCTGATTTTTTTGTACTTCTGTACAATTTCTATCTATCAGTCAAAAATTTGACATTACATACCTCCGAATAAAACCGAGTTCCATTTAGGAGAATTTGGTACATCTGATAAATTTAAAAAATTCACAACTGACATAATCGTTGTATACAATACATCCTAATTTAAACAAGACAAAAAAAATAAATAACATTTTTCATTTAAAAAAATTATTAAAGTTTACTCGATTATCATTGCCATAATAAGTGAGAATACGTGGTAACAATGGAAGAATAATTGTAAATTCAAGAAAATCAATAAGTATCGATATAAAAACAATTCTAATTATTTTTGAACTCATACTTTTTCGTATGATGTGTTCGATGAAGAAATGTATAATCTAATGTAATGTATGAATTAATAATAATAAATACACTTTTCTTTCTTCTCTATTGCAACATCTGTATATAGTCGAGCCTTTTTTCAGTTTTGTATTACAGTAAATGTCAAAAACAGGGGGAATTATCAATATATTATTATCATCTTCATCATCATTATTCTTGTATGATTGTTGTACTAACTATCAGTGTGTGTGTGCGTAGTGAGAGTATAGTGCAACATAATAAGATACAACACAGAAGGATTAGAAAAGCAAATAGAATAAAAATACAGTCCTGTACAGAAACATCATGTATTATATATAGTAAACGTCAAGAAAAAAAAGAAAGGAGAAAAATCTGACATAGAAGAACAAGTTTCAAAGAGTAAAATAATGGTACATCTATTTTACCGATAATTCACATGGTAGGATGTGTCAACTAATAAAAAAATATGTTTTTCGATTCAGAGGATCGAGTTGTTTGATTATATACAAATGTTCGGCTAGTACAAATAATACATGAATGTTTTATTCATGTCTAACATATACAATACTCCAAATGAAATAGAATAAAGATACTTTACTAGTACTATATCCTCAGATATAAATCTTACAGTTACAGTTAAATTATGACGAAATAATAAAGCTTGACACAATGTATATAGACCTTTAAGAACACAAGCTATCAACTGAAGTATTCTGTGTTTAAGTGATTTGTCATTCTTTCCTCTATGAAACTATACAACTCTTTTCAGAGAATCCAGTATCTAGTATTTGAATGAACGATTATCTTGAAAATTATTGTACGTATTGTGAATTGTGTAAATTTAAAGATAGATTAGAATACGTGTCATTATAATTAAAACAGTATTAAGTCTGATTAAGACTTTTTTGCATAAAAAAAATGAAAAAATTGCATGACCTTATAGTTCTTCACAGAATAAACGATTTTTTTGTAAATGGTAATGGAATACTTATGGCTTTTTTAATAATGAAATTTCCATAATCTACGTTATAACTTGTCAAAGAAAGTAGTGCCGAAAGGTCAAAAGGTTAAAGATTGGAAGCAGTCTTCTGATTTCACAGTACTACAGCTACCAATTAGAGATAACTTACTGTTGTCCTTGCATAAGCCACAGTTGAGCACTGATACGTTTCGTGTTTTTCTTTTCATCTCACACTATATCTATCCACATACTATTGATCTGTAATCCACAGCACTGACTCTTTTAGTATTCAGACAGCCTTTGGTGACACTTCATCATGCCATTCTATATAAATAAGAAACGTTCATCTACAATTTACTTAACTCTGTACTGAACGATCTCCATTAGCCGAATCCATAAAAATCATAATAAGTTTTAAAACGTTAGCCAATAGGAGAACCCTCCACTGGGAGAATATGCTTCAGGTAAAGGTCCAGGTCAACGAAAACTGTCATTTAATTGTTCATTAACAGGCTGTTAAATATATGCCCAAAAATGGCTTGTTAATTGTGTAAAAATGAAATGAAAATTGGCATTTAACAGCCATTATAATGACTTTTTTCTGACTTTGAAATAACGGTGGAAATAATGCCATATTATAGTCAATGTCCGAAAAAATGGCATTTTAGGGACACCATTAAATGGCATTTTAGGGACACCATTAAATGGCATTTTAGGGACACCATTAAATGGCATTTTCGTCTGTTTATTAGATCGCATTAACTAATGCCAAATAAATGTGCCTGTTACATATCCGTTTTGAGACAGTTTTTTCTCCATTTCAAAATGGCCAAAAATGATCACAAATTGGCATTTAACAGCCAGTTTGTGGTCACCAAGTCATTCGCCGTTTTATTCTGCCGTCATGACTAGTATAAATGACTCTGATTTTATATAATATATATAATATATTATAATTTAGAGTTTTTCTCTTATATTATACGAGCCGTAGAAACTTGCCTCGAAGAAGTAGTCCTAGTTCTTGGGTCTGTGCCGGTGACAGTACCTCAGGTTTTAGAAGATGTTTTTCTGACATTATCTAAGGGTCTAAAAATTGATATTTAAATGGCAAAAAAATGTGATCAGCAGGGTTACTGGCAACAGTTAAATGCCTGTTATTTGACCATTTTCTGACATTTAAAAAAATGCGAAATAAATGCATTTAAACGTTCCCAGTTATAATGACAAAAAACGGCCTAAAAACTGGGTCCAATGTCATAAAAATTCCATTTAAATGCTTATTAATAGCGTATTAAATGCCATTTAATTGGCAAGAAATTACACCGTTTTCGACGTCCTGGGGGGTAATATAGTTTGAAGAAGGCTTTCAATGAGCATACAGATACTAGCTGCTTATTAGATTTCCTGCAGTTAGTATATTAAAAAGATTCGCGTCACATAGATCAAACCTCCTTGTGGTGCCTTAAAAGGGTGAAATATCATCTCCATGACTACATATTCGTGATATCCATGCTATGAATCTGTCTTTCATTTCATCCTTCCTTCATCTGTCCTACATAGTCATGAAGACAAATTCAGTTTGGTCCATGTCAAGTATACAACTCTAACAACTACGAGAGATACTCGTCTCAACTATATAGAAAGACACGCTGATGAGTAAAGTATCATATTTTCAAGAATAGTAGATACCCCGAGCAATGTAAATTTTTCCACAACGATTGTGTCGCCACTTGCATATTAAAAATTTTCATATTATCATTTTTAGCATTTAGCGTTAGTAACAAGACTCTTTTTACAAGTGACCTGTAAAAAGAACCTAGTAGAGCGCTGGTTGCCGTCTCGATTAATATTTGCACTGGTCACGTGATTAATCTATATACAAATACATTTTATTTGCACTGGTCACGTGATTAATCTATATACAAATACTCAGAAAATAATTAAAAATGCTTTTTCAACAGCAGAATCGCTTCAGTCATTCTCTAGCATTCTAGAATTTTCCTAAGTCGACAATGTGCTCACTTTAAGTTTTATAAATTAAGAGTGTCACTGCCACTGTCCACTTGGGTGTTGCTATTTTGTGGCGTGTAGGTGTCGGTGGTCTACTGTGGATGCATGGACATTTTTTTATGAATGACGACTGTATACTTTCAGTATAGAGAAAAAGCTTTATTTCAACAGTGTAGTTTCTCGTAAAGAATTGGGAAGAAAACAGCTAAAATAATTTCTATTCTATTCTTTATTTATAGAAATTAAAAACACATACAAAAAAAAAGCCTTACGAAAATAAATAAGTGAGATTAGTAATGGATTACTATTAACAAAAGTATTTAAAAAAACATAAACAATGGAATACGTTCGGTTTGAAAGATAGAATCTGTCACGTTTGTATCTTCCTTATACTAACATTTTCCATGTTTCATTTTAGTGAATGATTCCGATGTTCAATGTAGCATTGACGACGATTCATAAATGCCTATTATTACATTCATTTTTATTTCTATCTTTAGTGATAAAAAGGGCTTTATATCATGATTTAGACAGTTGATAGAGTACTCTAGCAGATGCCCAACAAAATTACAGAGAAAAGGGTTTTCTAAAACATTCAAATCTTAGAAAACTAAGCCTCACGATTTATTCATATTCCAGTTGCATAGAGCCACCATTTCTAAACAATGACATTTTTTCACTGAACAGCATTCAATTTACGAAAGGTTCGGAGTGAAGAACTAAGAAACAATAAAAAAATAAAGCTGCTCGGATAATTTTGGTACTCATTGTATATATTACACATACCTGCATTATTTCCGTTAATGATTTACATTCCATCCTTGTTCAATAAAGAATCAGCATGTTTTGTTCTTAATTCTCGACTACGACGACGCCGTTTTTTATGATGTCTGTTCTTCTATCGCTTTTGTTAGCCATTTCTATTAATATTATTCACAGAGTTTGGTGTACCGGTTGATATCGTTATTGTAACATCTGTAAGAATATCCTGAATAGTATTAAACGTATTGCTAATCATTAATCAAAGTGTCGAACTAATATTTCGAATTGTTTCCCGATCGTCGCGATCTGATAGCCAGTTTTGTCACAGTTCGTTGTGCTGAAATAAAAAAATGACATATTCCGTTGTCTATCTTCAGAAAAATCATTCATTAAATGAAAAAACGATTTACACAGAAGTTTAGTTAGTAATAAAAAACGAAAGAACCAGAAACATATTTAGTCAAAATAATATGAATGATATAAAATTTTTATTTTTTCAGTTTTTAGATACCTTACAAAGAGAATAGAGGACATTCTAAAATTGTCCAGAGTATTAAAAAAATGTTGTCATTCTACTTTATTCAGATCAACATAAATGTACAATATTTTAACGAAAAAGTATGAATTATTGATTTTACGTCAGTTGTATGTTTATTCATATTCTATCGGTAATTTTTCTCTAAAAATTTATCCACCTTATCCTTCCCTTTTTTCGTTGTTTTGATGGCGAGATTATTTTGAAACCATCACTAAACTTTGAAATATGACAAGAACTTTTATAATGTGATCGCTTATAGCTGTTGATGATGTCGAAATATTCTTAATACATAATCAGTTATTAACTGTGAAAACTGTTAGTGCCACTAAAATCAATAAACGGTTCTCTCAACTCATTGTCAAACTGTTCTCGTTGTTTTCTAAACAAAAATCGTCATGCTCTAAAAGTTTGTTTCAACGTTAAGTTCAACCACAGACAAAAAAGTCCGCTTCGTAATTTGAATACCCCCAAATTTCAAAAGTATTCTTTTTCCCAGACTTTTCTAAAAACTAATATTAGATATTGTCATGACTCTATTGAATAGCTATTAATTGTAACGAATAGTCGAGACTTTTGGTAACAGTGTGTTGCATCACTGTTATTCATTTGATTTGATTCTCTTAAATCAAATTTGCATATCAATGATGTGTTCGAAGGTTTCACTTAAATTCAAAACATTTTATAATCACATTATATTTGAATAATATCAGATCTTAGTTTTTAGACTCGGTTTTACATGCTGAATGAGAAAAAAAAACAGTTTTGAGAAATAAAACGAACAAAAAATGTGAGAATTTTGAATTACGGGCACCTTACTTGCATTGTTCCGTCATTTTTACTCGGTTTTTTCGATGCATTGGCATATTCTTCGATCTAATATAACGTGATTAACTTAGACATTGTTCAGCTACTGATAGTACAACAGTCTAAAGTGATACTAAAAACAACATGTATAAATCAAACAAAAACATTGAGTAAATTGTTTGTGTTTGATTGTTGTTGAACATAGTTCAAGATTAATAATTTTGTTTATTATTCTAGAAAATCTATTTTGTCTTCAGTTGAAGAGGTGAAACTCATTCTCATATCAATAAAAACCAACAACAACAACAACAACAACAAGTCATAGAAATTATAAACAGAGCAAAATTGTATGCATGAAAAGTATCGGTCTGTACAACAAATAAAAGAAAAGAAACCATTCGAGAAAAACAACAACACAGAAATTATGAGCATAAAAAATTGGTCTTGCGACCAGAAAGCTCACAAGTTTAGAAACAAACAGCAAGACCAGTGAAATGTTCTCCAATGTTAACCAAGCGTGCATGTGCAGTAAACAAAACGAAGCTCACTTAACAAATGAACAATTTCACGAACCAGCATGAATGACTATTATTAAATATATATTTTTTTTTCTTCAAAAAAAAAAAAAGATATGCGCAAAATTTTTCACACCGGGAAGAAAAAGAAGAATATCCGACATGAAAAAAGGAAAACAAAATTCATTTACTATTTCATCTCAAATTGATGAAAACATGTAAGATGAAAATATGATAATAACGATGTATACAAAACAATTACGTGCAAAACATTTATAATCATTTGGTATGAAAACGGGTGTTAAAACATTCGTTATAATGTGTAATTCATGTGCTATACAGATAAATATAAATGTTGTTAAAATTAAATTGAGTGTTGGCATACGCGGTATAATTGTCAATGCACCATGACCATTAGCTACTAACCATATATGATATTGAGCAACAAAAAGTTCTAATGATATACGACCAAACCATGAGAAAAATGGTGAGTAATGTTTTCTTAAAAAAACTGGTACATTTCGTAATATGATATAGGAAAAGATCTACAAGGAGAAAAAAATTAATTAATATCATATAGAATTTAGCTTATGCACATGTTATCTAAAGAGCTTACCGGTAATACAATTATATAAGGATGTATTTCATCACAAACTGCTTTGTTTGAACATAGAAATAGAACAACAATGTAGACAACTAAACCAATTAAACCTATTGTACACAATAATGTTACATAATGATTTGTTCGATATTGTTGATATTGTTTTTTCTTCATTAAAATGAAACCACCAAATGTTTTATACATATCAAAATTTTGAATTATAATCAAAAGATAAGCAAAACACATTCCATACAATATTGTATAACGATCTAGATTCCATCGATGATACCAGTCATTAATTGTTCCATTTCGATCATAATAAATGTTGTTACTTGTACTATTATGAAAATAAGTATGCGTTATATCGTCTAATGTTATTCCGGATAGAGTAACGGGACCCACAATACCACATCCTGAATTGGCTAGATAATCTAATAATGATTTTTCACCATCGTTCAATTTTTCATTTACATCATGTGTTAACAATGTTTTTAATTGATTTAAACCATTATGGGTTAAATCAGATTTATGTAATTGTTGAGCATAGGCAGCTAATGACGATGTTATTGTTGATGTTGTAAATAGATTATTCCATAATTTAAAGGCAAAGATTTTTTCAAATAAAAATTCAGATAATGATAACGTGGTCAATAACGTGCCTAATTAGAATAAAAACAAAAACAGATAAGAATATTTCTTACAAATTGATTAGAGACAAAAAAAAAATCAATGCTTTTCGGTTGCTAACATACCTAGTAAGATAAATTTAAAAAATAAATACACTAGATGCATTGGTTTATCTTTAATTGTGGACATATTTATTCTTGGTGGTAAAATAGCCATTGCAAAATAAACTACAGCAAAGTAAAATGATATTAATGGTGGATAATAGTATGATTGGTAATTTCGATTCATTATTAAACATAGACTAATTGTTAAAAAATTATATCTAAATAACATTTGTAAAAAGTTTAAACAATTATAATTTCCTGTTTTCCAATAATAAACAAAATGACTATAACCAGCCAAAAATAAATAGGAACTAATTAATAATTGTACAAACATTGCCAAGACAATAGATTTTCCTGATGCATCTGTCATTTGATAAGCTAATATAACAATTTGCATCCAACCTTTCCATTCATCAATTTGTTCACTATTTAGAATATAATTGAATAAATCATCGGTGTTTGATGAAGATTGTTGTGATATCAATAATTTTGTTGTCATTGTATCATCATCACTTCCCATCTCAATATCATTCGTTGTATCATTATCATGATTTGTTGTCGGTTCTGTGGAGAATGATACTGGTGGACTACCACTTGTAGGAGTATGTGAAGGTGATGCACTTGACGAAGATAATGGTGATGATAATGGTGATAATTGTTGTAGTTTATCATGAAAGAAAATACCCAATACACCAATATATGTTAATGGTAGAAAAAATGCGACACGTGTAAAATGAAGATTTTCTTTCATCCAAAAATCGGTACGATCTATAATAGAACATTGAATGAAAGTATTTTAAAAATGTCAAAAGTTGAAAAAATTACTTGACAGATTATCTCAGAAAGCATAAATGCGTTCGATGGGAGGCACAGTGACATTTTTCTAATAGTAACCGGACATCAGAATTTTTTGCTCGTAAAGCCTTACGTCAAGAACAATTATCATTGCTTAGTCATCTCTGATGCTTTTCAAGAAAAAAAAATCAAGGTTTTCAAAAAAACAGTCACTTTTTTCGAAAAAACGAGTCTCGCTGGTTCATTGGGAGAAAATTTCGAGTAAACTGGACGTGCCGATTCCGAACATGACGTTATTTTTTCTTAAAAGTGTTCTGGGACTGAGAAAAACAGATTTTATCAAAAAAAACAGGATTTTTCCTAGAAAACGTTCTCCTGTATGGTTCAGAAACGCTTATATTATCTGTATATATGTAGCGTAAGTAGAAGAATAGTGTGGTAAAGTATGAACGACTTTGAAGACTGGCAGAATTTGGCGTACTCCTTGCACTCATGACACCGCTACGGAAAGATACTTAGCTTAGAAAAAAAAATTTTCTTCGACATTTTAAGTCCAAATAGTGAAATTTCTTCGCTGCTCTGTAGCAAAGAAAGTGTCAATGTATTCTATATTATTCTTGTATTAAAAATTCTTAAAACAATACATAGAGTCCATATATCCATATATATTTACTCTCTAAAAAGTCTAGAAAAAGCCTACGTTCAATTTTTAGCCAAATGTCCGTCTGTATGCCCACTACGAGGGAGGGACCCAAAACACATTTATACAGATCGATCTGAAAAATAGAAATATATCATAAATTTCGTACCTGATAAATAAAAATAGAGCAATATAAATGAATATTTGGTGATTGTACGTAAGACATAAGGGTCGGTTAAAGGAAAATGAAATAGAGAATTTTTCTTCTTATAAAAACGCGATGGATAGAGAGATGAAGAGGAAGACGATGAATTGGATGTTGATTGTTGCGTTGCAATTGACGTGGTTAACAATAAAGGTGGTAATAAATGTTGTTGTGATTTTTTGCGTAAAGTTCTTAGAAATTTTGGTATAAAAAAGCGATAACGACTGATTGTAGTTGGTAAGATCGGTGCACTATGAGGCACAGATGTGACACCATAGTTCTGAGATCGTTGTTGACTAAAAGTAGAAGAAAAATCATCGCTAAAGACTCGTATAAGACATATTATACTGAAGAATTTTTTGTGTTACTAGATCAGACAAATGCTAACTTTCTTCTCAATACTTTTATTACTTTCCATTTTAGAAAACTTAATCTAGCACTAAATCTAAACCTTGAAATAACTTACCTAAATACGTTTCCATTCATTGTTGAAGATACTTGATGATTGTCCATTTCAGAATAACGACCATTTAATAAACATGGTCCATCATTGTTCAGTATATGACCATTACTCATTTTAAGAGATGTTTGTTCTTGATTATCAATAACGACCGTTGTTGATGCTGTTGATGCTGCTGTTGTTGGCGATAACAAATTCTTTTTTCGTCTGAATAAAAATGTTGCACGTATTCTGTAAACAATATAGATGATAAATAATGTAATCAATAATCCTAACAATAAACTCATTAAAAATTGTAAACGTGTCAATGGTGGCACTTGAGCACAACAAGTTCCATCATCTGGTAATAATCGTTGATTACACAATAAATTTAATAATATCTGAACGCATGTGTGACGAGAAAATGATGTTAATTTATAAAATTCATAGATATGTCCAGAATTTATCATTGCCGTTGTTAATACCGTACGATTATTTTTCAACTTCAGATAGGAATAAAATGTAATTTCATCATTTGTAAAAAGATCATCACCATTCTGTTCGATATTGACCGCTGTACTTTCTGCAGGCGTTAATGTTGAAGTTGTTTCATCATTTTGTCGTGGATTTTCGTCCGTATCATCATCATAGATAAAATTTTGTGGATAAGACGAGGATGAAAATGTTGTTTGTTGTAGTAGAGTTGATGAATGCCAATAGAATATATTTGTTTTATGAAATATATCTTTAGTAATATGATTAATATTATCTAAGTAAGAATTTATTTTATGAATGAATTCATAGAGATACGGATTTTGTTTATCATCGTTAACAACAAATAAATCTTCGTTTATATTCAAATGAGGTTGTCCTAGAAGAAACAAGATCTTATAATAAAAACCTGAATACAAACTACGTCACAATTTATAGTTATTGATAAAGTTAGCATTTGGATAATGATGAGACAAAATACCTTAAGTCCATCATTTCTAATGACATCGTGGCTTGGTGAACATGTTGTTCGGCACATACGTCAAAGATGTAGTGTTCAAATCTCGGCATCGTCAAGTCATGTAATAATAATGGACAAGTGACTTATGTCTTAGCGTCTTGAATCATCCGTTTGATAACGAACTTACATACGATGGGACGTAAAATACAGTTTCTCCAGTAAGTCTCCGTGACTTGTCGGAAAGCTAGTACGTGGTTAGCGAGTGTGTATGGAAAACTCAATTAATTGATCGAAAGAATTCTGTGTCAGACTAGTCTTCTGTCCAGACCTGTAGTTGATGAGTAGTAACGAGATGAGTGACCATATTAGACGCTTGCCAACTGCAGAGAAAATACCAGACTCTCGAAACTGACATCTGTGCTCATACTGCACTGATAACATTAGCCGCAAGTCAAAGTATACTTCCTTTTTTCTCTCTTTATTTTCTAAAACGAATACTCACCCAACCATATAATTGTCATAGCCGAACTGAGATTATTTAATAAAAATGTTTTTATTTGCGTTAAATGTTTTTCATATGTTTCAATAGCTTGTTTACTACCATTCATTATTAATCCCATATATAATCCCAGACTAATGACAAGTATATGCGGTCTGTTGGTTTTTGTTGTTGTATTCCATGACGATAATAAATTGTAAAAACTTTCATTAAAATCATTCATTGTATAATATTGAATATTAAAATTTTCATTTGTATATGTCGAATTTCGATCATGTTTCATTGCATACATATTTTTATTTATATTAAATGAATATTTATAATAGTCATTTATAGATGGAATACCTTTTTGTTGGTGTAACGATGATGGAGAAGAACTTAAACTTGAAGATGAACGTTTGATATTTGGACGATATTTAATTGTATTTAAAAATGTACGATAAATCATATACAAACGTTCATCACCAACAAACGTATAACGAAATTCATTTGATAATAATGAGGCAGATAATGGAGATTGTGATTGTAAATATTTTTTTTGTTGTTCTTGTTTTCGTGTACGTAACCATTCAACAGGATCTATAATAATAAACACGATTGATGACAGAACTAGAAAATATTTTTATTTACTTACCTAAACGATTATTAAATGATTTTTTTGTAGATATTATTGTTGAATCAATTGTCGATGAAGATGATGATATTAATCTTCTACATTGATTAAAATCTAGTGAATCATACCAGTGCATCATACAACCAGTTGGTTGCCAAACATGATAACGTTCAATACGTCCTTCGTATAGTAATCGATGACATGATGTTACGCCGTTAATATAACGTAAAAATCCGTGATAAAATAAGAAACAAAAAAAAAATAATAATGCAATTAATTTTGCATTATGAATATTAAAACGATTTAGAATATTTGATGATTCGGTTATCATCGACGATGATGTAGAAATTGATGGAGCAGTTGAGCTAGATGATGATAAATAACACGATGTTTTTGGTTTTTTTGGAGTAAAAAGGGTATCTAAAATATAAAGAAAATCCAAAAAATGATGAAAATTCTTGTGTCAAAACGTTTTTCCTTTTTGCTAACTTATTTTTACTTAAAGGAGTAAATTAATTGATTAGAAAAAATATATATTTGGAATACATACTCTGTGATGATGATGTTCCTAAACGTCTAAGATTTTCTTGTGAAGATGAATGATGACACTTATTTAAGTTCGAATTTGAGTAAGATGATGTAATATCTGATGCATAAGATGCCGTGTGACGATGATGAGATTGATATAGACTTTTTGATTGTTGTTGTTGTTGTTGTTGTTGTTCATTATTATCATTAGCTTGCTGTTGTTTCGATCGAAATAATTGTGCTGATAGTGAACTATTTGTTGTTTCTTTTGCATCTAATCGTTGTATAGGTGTTATATCGTATGAATGTGCACGTGTATGATGTGATGCTATATTCGAAAATGTTTTCTTCTTTTGTTTGGGTAAAACTGATTCATTTGTGGTAATATTTCCACTATCCAAAGAGGAATCAATGAATTCTTGTGAATTATCATCTCTTACAGAGAATTTTGATAAATTATAAACCGAAAATTTTTCATTGGAATTCATTCTCCATCTAAAACGAAAAAAAAGCAGTAAATGAATGTTTTTCAATAGCGTATTGAATATTTATCCGCTTATCTGTTCCAACATGACATTAACATTTTCTTAGTCTGTTCGATTTCATTGAGATGCAAAAAAAAATAAATACATTATGACTGTTAATGGTATCATTAAACATAGAATCCTATTGTTCATTACGACTAGTTAAAAGAAACTTTTTTTTTTCCAATTTATTCGAACAAATATTATTTGCATTCTTTCATAGAACAGTTGACTTACTTTTACTTTTTAATGTATCAAATACAACGTGTTTCTAATTTATTTGAACAACAAATTAACTATTTTTTTTTTAAAATTTTTATATGTAATATTACATATTTGCATCTATAGATGTATTATGATTTTTCTTCTTTCTTTTTTTTTTTTAAACAGAAATAACTAGTGTCTTTTTTCTTTTATTTTTTTCAATTAAATTTCATCATTATTGAATTCCATTTACATAAAAAAAGACGAAAAGAAAATAATACACGAAATATATAGGAGAGAGCGGCAACACATGCGAGAAAATATTTTTACAATGATCATTAAATATTAGATACATATAGACAACGATTATTACCATCATATTGTCTTTGAGATGTATGTTTTTTTGACATAATATCCCAATTGACATTATACTATATAGAATCATTAGTCAATTTTTATTATAAATACAAAAAAAGAGATGAAAAAAAAATTTGTCTAGTTCTATAAATGGTTGTTATTCCTCTGTGTCCTAGGATAAATTGATAAAGACATGAAGTCCTTAGTTTGTTTTTTGAATATAACTGTAAATAGTAAGAGACCATAAATAGATGTGAGATTCTCCATGTTAATAACCCCTCACTCTTTTGTCTAATTAATCAAATAAACAAATGAGTAGATTAATGTCGCATGTTTGAATATTAAACTTCTTATCAAACAATGTACTCACTATTTTTTTGTTTTGTTTTAATTAAATAGAAATTGAAAATATCAAAGTAGAGGCGAATAGAAAAACTCATAGAAGAGACATTGAAAAAAATCAATTTAAATTTCTTTCTACTAAAAAAAAATGTTTAAAGTCATTTGTCGAATAGTTGATTCATTGAACCTAAATAATTTTTTCGTTCATAAAAATTCTAGTCAAATATTCAGTAAATGTTTACTGTTCGATTCTGCTCATATCAAATAATTTTTAGCTATGTTCTTAGTTAGTTTTAACGTAACAAGAAAAACAAGTGATTCATTTAAGAGCGAACAATGAGATTTCAAATGATGATGTGAGTATAAGCATCATTTTAAACTTTACTCTCATCATTTGCTCTATTACATGAAAAATCTTAGTTTATCATCTCATAATTAACTGAAAATATTGACTAAATATTTGAGCAAAATTTTAACAAACAAAAAAATTATCTACTATTCACATTCAACGTGATAACATTTTTAATTTCATTTTCGTTCAATAATCATCTATCACTTAGGTGTTGTACATGCCTTTAGAACTGTTATATTTCGACGATTTTATTACATTGTAAAACGAAAAAAACAAATTTGTCAGAAAATTTTAAATGATTCTTTGCTTAAAAGATTTTTTTGACTATTTTTAATTTTCTTTATCCAATGAAAGCTCTAAGATGCCTTATTAGTATACAAATAAAATTTATTTCATATTTATCATGACCTTGTATATTTTCTTATACTGTATATAGAAACCGTAAGTTGTAAGCGGAAGAAAGAATTTTTATATTCTTGAAATATAAAGAAAAGTAACTTTTATTTTTGTTCTAAGAATTCTATGCACTTTTCTTCATACACACACACACAATAGAAAAATAAAAACTAAAAATTTGATAATAAAACTAGATGACAACTGCCCTTCGGAAAGATTAGAAAGCCGATCAAGTAAAATGTTTCTTAAAAACACTTCAAATACCGTTTGATCCCCTTACATAAGAAGTACGGCTCAATTATTAGTTTCTCTACTTTATATATATATTTATACAAAAACTAGAGAAACTAGAGAGAGAAAAAAAGAAAACTAAATGGATATTCAATGTATACAGGAGTATAGACTAATAAGGAGCATTAGTGAGTCACTGCACACTGTTCATCAGCGTTGTCGATTAGAGGGTGGTAGGGGGTGGCATATCACACCCTCGTTTGGATATAGTTACTCAAAAAATTTTGACTTACTCAAATTTTTTAAGAAATATAAGTAGAGAAACTGCCTTTTCTGATCTGCCTGAGTAAGAGATTTTTTCCATGCGTTACTCAATGAAAAAGTTTAGTTACTCAGCAGACTCGCCATCTCCCAACAAAACTACTATCGAAAGCACTGCTGTTCATACTGAACATACTGCATATATATATCGCATATTAAAAACGACCAAGTTCTTGAAAATATGCTCGGGCTTTGGAGCTCATATAGTACGCTAATTCAAAGGTATATCGAAAAACTAATTTCAGATGTGTCATTTACAGCTCTTAGCCTTTCTATTGATCTTTGTCTAAAATTTCTATGATTAGGAATAGTGGAGAACGCGTGGTTGACACAAGAAACAAAAGCGTATGAAATGAAGAAGAATTTTTGTGGTGAAATAGAATAAATCTCCTCGAGTTTCACTCGACCGACTTAAAAAACTCACATAATAATGTAAATCTCTCACCTCTTTCATGCATTAACTTTGCATTAAATTTCTTCTCTTTTTCTAATAATAATTAAGAAAATCCGATATTTATTTGTATCTCTTTAAGTCAAATAAAAATAGATCAACGAATTTTATCGAGTACACTATCTTCTACTTTCAAATCATTCCGACTCATCATCTTACTATACTTCTATTATTTGAACAAAATGAGAAAATTAGTGAGTTTATCATGGCAAAAACAAATACTATGTAATATTTTTTAGCCCAATTCTTACTCACTACAAGAAAACAGATGACAATCAAAATGTACAAAAAAAAATTTGACGAACGATCTATATTTTAATTTCTTTTAAAGATGAAAATAAAACGATACATTTTTTTTGTTTTGCTCTTTCATCAATTGTCACCATTCATAGTATAGTTTTAGAAGACGAAAATGACACCAGCGAAATTAATTCAGAAAATTCGAATTACATCGACTATATATATATATATATATTGAATTACACATGTGTAAATATGTATATATATATATAAATATATATGTAAATATTGAATTACACACGTGTAAAAAATAATGACTATGACAGTAAAACAAGCACCTGGTGCCTAACGGAAGAACCAATTTATCAATAGAACAGAAAAGAGAACCTAGAATAGTTGCTTTCTATTTCATTTTCACTTTTTACGGATATCAAAATAGAACTATTTACGTCGGTAATGTACTCTTTTCCAACGGTCTGTATTATTCGTCTTAAAAATTTGATCATTATTTCATTACTTTTTACTCTTTCACTGATTAAATATAGATATTATTATGTGTGTATACATAAGATAGTTCTTATTCTGTAAAATATTAAATTTAAATGATCACTTGTATAATTATAACACATGTGCAATAAAAACGAAAATAATCAAGTCATTTACTTTTTATTATAAAAAAAGCATAACTTTTTTTGTTTCTCTTTATAATGTCTTTATCTACAACTACTACTACGACTACAACTACGAATATTATACATGCAACTATTTAAACAAATAAAAAAAAATTTGTCAAGTAAATCTCTTCGTGTAATATATTTATGAAACAATGCCCAAGGTGATATGAAAAAATGTTTTTTTTTACAAGTATCGTTTACATAAACGAAAAAGATAAAACATATATTTCGTAGTTGCTCAGTTTTTGATAGTATACAACATAAATAAATTTTACTTGAATATTTTTAAAAAAAAATTTTCTTTATATAACAAAAATTATGAAAACTACTATAAGATGATACACGATTCTTTCAATGATCCTATCGAACATAACTCTGTAATAGGGATGCCTGCTAAATAATAAAAAAGAATGCAAGGGGAAGGGGAACTTTTTTCATACACAGGGAGACAAGACAAAACATATTATTTGTCGTACAATGTCATTGAGAAAATTGAAATGTAATAAAAAAATATCTATCTTTCAATTGATGTTTTTCTTTAGAAAAATTGTGTTCAAATGATGATATCAGTTTCATTTATCAAATAAAAAAGTCACTGTTTTTGCATTTTGTTGTTTCCTTTTTGAAACGAAAGATCCTAGAACGCAAAAAATAGTATTTTTTTTTTTTTTCAATGAAAAAGAAACTCTGAGTGTAAAATTCTAAAGTGTTATTAAAGATAAAATTATCATCTTAGTTTAAAATGTTCCAATCAAATTCAAATGTAAACGAACTGAAGGTTAACAATGAATTTGTCGTCTGTTATACAAGCTAAATGAAGATATTTTTGCGTGCTTATTGAAAAGAGATTTAAAAAATCCCTAATAGATACGCATCAGTTATAGATCCGTTATTTTTTCACTATTTTTGAAACATTCAGGAAAATTGTTATAATGTAGTTATTAGGACTTGCCCTGCTATTTGAAATGTCTCATTTTGTAGAAAAATGTTTGATCTATGTATTTGTACCAAACAAAAGAAAACGAAGGATAAAAAAAAAAAGAAATTTTATTAACGAATTGCTGAGGAGACACAAATAATTATATAACTGTTTGTCACCTTAAAGTATTAACAAATACCGTAGGCATTATTCTCTTAACTATAGAAATAACACAGTGATCGAATAATTTCCTATAATATAAAAAATCTAATATACTATCAATTTAAATAAACTACAATATTTGAAATCTATTAGATGTCAATAAAATCGTGAAAAACAAAAAATGATTTCTTAATTAGTCATTGAATATAAATACTTGACATTCAACACAAAACATAAACTGAGAAACAATATATATTATAATAAAAAATCATTCAACCGAATTTTATTTGTCTAGAAGAAAAGAAAACAAATAGGTAATTTCCTCTAGTTTATATCGTATTTTCATTTATTTTACCTTTTAATTGCAGGGCTATTTGTTAATTCAATTAATAATTTTCTTAGAGAATGTGATACATTTATGTTTATTGGAATGTAAAAATAATAATGATTATCCAATTGAACATATACTTGAAAACATTTATAGTATATGTGTGATGATTATCA